GACGCTGATAATAAATCGCACTAAAGGCAAAGTTTTTGTTTTGAAAGTCGGGTAGAGGGGTCATTGAGCGCTCATTTCCTCATTCAGATCGATGTGCTCCATCACGTGGTTCCGGTTAAATGCTTTACTAGCGATCATTACGATGTCGATATTGTAACATTTGGTGAAAAGCGCCGGGAATCCCGGCGACCAACAACAGGAGCAAAACATCCTGGCCCGGGATGTTTTGCCCCTGTTCTTGGTATCATTCTGGTCAGCGTGTAATCATTTTTGAAATCTTCTCCTCTTGAAGGTCATGAGTTGTAATGGTGACCTTTGATGACCTGTGAGGTCAAATTAAAATGTGACCTTTCAGTTGCCACGTCTCTGTTCATGACAGGCTCTTTGTGTCCATACAATTGTACAATTAAAATTTGTGCAAATGAGCTCAGGATACATCTCACAGATCATGGCTTCGAATGGATTTCAAATCATGTAATTAAAAAACGATCGAACCATTTTTACCGTATGCTTCCACAAGAAACTCCGTCCTGATCGCTCACGGCTACCATGTAATACACCTATGAGACAGGGTAGGATAAATCTGGGTGTTCTACCCAAAAACATCAACTTCTAATCCGAAAACAAACTCGAAAGCGTCGATTCTTTCCATGCCCACCAATCATGTACTATTCCATTTCTTCAGTGGGGACAGATACACACCGTTCTTGTGTAAGAGTTTCCGATACAACTGCAGATCATTTACGAGTTCATATTCGACCACAGGTGACTAGCCATGCGCTGATCCTGCATGGGCCGTATGGTGGTACCAGGACGCATCATATGAGGGAGTGTGCGTGCAGAGACTGAAGACGAGGAGAACCAGGTCCGCTGCACCTAAGGTCAATGGCCCACCCACTGTGTCTGCCCCCAGGCAATGCCAGGAGTCAGTAAACGGTTCTACCTCGGAGTTGGCTGAGCCGTCTAGACATTGGCACCTTCCTAATTTCCAGCTTTAGGCAATGACATCTTCATCTTCATCTTCATCTTCGTTTTGCTTCTGTATATCTATACCGAGATAAAAACAGCACTAAGCTATGCCGGTATGCATGAATGATGACCTTTGCCAATTTGCTAGCCGACCTCCCCGAGTCACGGAGTTGCAGAGACGGTTGACGGATGAGGGAGACGGATAGCACTCGTCGACTTCAGTTCAACATCAGCTGAGGGTTTGGACTCTGAGCCTGTAGAGTGCAGTGTGCAGTGTAAGGTCCGTTATCTTGAAAGGATACTGCTGGCAGCGGCCGTCACCAGGCACTGGTTCCATGTCATGCTATCTGCACCCGTCTCAAGTCATCAGCTGGTATAGAAGTGACACATGCCCAGAATTGGAGTCACGAGCAGTCGTGCACGCGCTCGGCCAGGCCAGTGCTGTCCGTCATAAGCAAAATTGCAAACATATTTCTTTCATAATGGGGCGAGGATGGAGTTTCGGTGTTACTGTCCTGTGATGTTCTTGGCCAGCTTCCTTTCCATATGCTCAAACGCACATGCTGTGTGCGGGTTTGGGTGTTTGTGGGGGAGGGGCAAAGCTAAACTCACTCATACAGCAGCCACCCGACGGTGGTGTAAAGCTTGCGCTTCTCCCTCATCCGTCTCTGCAACTCCGGGGCTCGGGGAGGTCGGCTAGCAAATTGGCAAAGGTCATCATTCATGCATACCGGCATAGCTTAGTGCTGTTTTTATATCGGTATAGATATACAGAAGCAATTGATAACTTCTTTATCTACTTCATGCCATATTTCCGTTAAAATACGGCATGCGAGTTATATGGTTATACCGTAACGGTTTTTAATGCCCCTTCCACCCAAATTGTATCGATAGGTCAATGTTCATGTCCTGGGGATTGCTCATTTCCTTTGCTGAATGAGATGACTCATTGAAAATTAGGTGGTTCCAATGAGAAAGCCTCGATCGCTGATTTTAGCCCCCTGACTACATAGCAATTCGTTGCGGTCTTGTGTAGGTGCTAATGACGGTCTAAGCCAAAGTGAGTGTAAATGAGCATATGCTGTTCATTGACCAAAATGATATTTTTGGTGCTCTCTTTTACCGCTGCACGTCGAATATACCTACAGGCTACAACTAAAGCAATGTTGCACGGTGTCTAACAGCCATTAATACCACTGGAACACGTTGGCTTTGCATATTTATAGTCGTTCAAATGAAGTCATTTTTCCACTAAAATTAAAACTCCAATGCAAGCTTGCGATCCATAAAAGTGATCTAATATCGTTACTTCTGTCACTGCTATAGATCCAGAACAGAGCAAATAATGATAGAATCGACCCCGACCTGTTGGCATGGTAACCTTGTCCCAACATAAAATAATGGTAATTTGGTCGATTTTCTGCTAAAATTGACATGTTCATTTTGAATTCGTGACCCCCAAAAATCGTTTGCCTTCGTTATTTTTGGCACAGATGGAATCAGAATAGACCAAATAATGGGAAAATTGACCCCAACTTGTTGGCATGGTAACCTTGTTCCAAAATTAAATAGTATTAATTTGGCCGATTTTTCGCTAAAATTGGCATTTTCAATTTGAATTCGCGACCCCTAGAAATGGTTTGATTTCGGTATTTTTGGCACAGATGGAATCAGAATAGACCAAATAATGGGAAAATCCACCCCACCTAAAATTTGAAAAATTGACCCAAAAATGGGTACCCCTAGTGCACATAGACCACTTTTCTGACATATATTCCGGTTTTTACGATACACTCAAAATTTTGGATTTTATAAATATTTTGTTTTAAAGTCCTTTGTTTCCCAGGAAATTACATATGTATAGCTCCTTTCGGATTATTCTCTGGGATGTAAATATGTTACTCGAAAGTCCATATATTTCGGGTGATATTGCTCACCCTTGTTCACTGCACAAATAACAAACAATTACCTGCACATATGAAAAAGCACACCATTCGAGTAACATATTTACATCCAAGAAAATATTTTTCCCAAAAAAGTCGTCTTTTTTTAAGAAAAAAAAATATTTTGGGCCAAAATCCAAAATTTCAAAAATCCGAGATAGCCATTTGATAGACAAAGAAGAATCACGTATAACCTTTTGTAACGTCTTGATTCCTTTGAAAATGAATATGTTAGCGGCGTTTGAAATTTTGCCGTTTTTGGGCGAAAATGGCGAACATGACGTCACTAAAACGCCATTTCCTCAACAACAAAAAATCTGACGGATTTCGTTCCAATTTTCATTTAATTAAATTGGAGGCACCCAGGCACCCACCACCCGCCGAGGGGGGGTTCGTACCCGCCCCCCCCCCCCTCGGCCGGCGCGTATGTAGAAAACCAATAGGTCCGGCGAGGGTTAAATTGCTGATAATGTAATTTACCAGCCAAAAAGTGTTCATTACCTACCTATATTAAGAGCTTAACTAGACTTCCTATTATCCAGTCAATGCTATTTACGATTCCTTTATAAAAATGCTGAAGTGTAGCAGGCCATCCTCCAATCATGTTCGGTCTGCTACCTTTGTTCAGTTAAATTCCGAATTGGACATTAGACAAAATCGAAACTCCGAATGTCCAGGTTCCGATTAGCACCACTTTAACCCGCGCACCGACGGGGGTCTGCGCCAACTTCGCACCGACGCGACGGGGGGGGGGCGGATGACCGCCCCCCCCCCTGAGATCTCGAGAACGAAGCAAGATAGCGACAAGCGGTAAACGGCATCGGATACGCACGGCCACGATCTACAATTTTTACTAAGGTCATTTTCAGGTCAGGTCAAATATGACGTCACAGGGGTCGAAAAAGTCAAAATGGCGGCGCTAGATATGGAGAGTTTTTCTCGAATAACTTTCGAATTAGTCAAGATAGGAACAAACTAAGGGCATCATCGTGATCCTCTCGTCAATCCGCATCGAATGATATATATGTTGACCTCGAAAGGTCAAGGTCAAAGGTTGACCTCAGGTCACGTGACCTCGAGGTCATCATGTATATCATTCGATGCGTCTTGACGAGCTGAACACAATGAGACCATCCACGCGTCTGTATCTTGTTTCTGTACGGAGTTATTGGCCAAAAACCTTTGGTGACCTTTGATGACGTCACATGACCTCACAGCTGCCCAACAGCAAAACAGACCTCAAGGTAGTGAAGGTTGATCGTATATGAAGTCATGTATGCTATATGGGGCCATTCCGACCCGTTTTAGTGGTAAAAACAGGGAGTTGATTTTTCCCCCATTGACTTATAATGGGGAGGTCGCGAAATTGACCTGACCTTAGGTCACCTATATCAAAATTCCGATAGATACAAATTGTAGCTACTAATGACCTAATAATATCCTGCGACTTTCAAAGGCCTCCGACATCTACTGTAGCTCTGGCACGGTGACAAAGTTGCAAAAAAGTGACTTGAGGTTGGGTCATTCAAAGTGACCTGGTGACCTGACCTTAAAAGGTAGGAGGTTCAAACTTGCACACCATGTGTAAAATTGATGAGGTTAGTCATACGAAATTTCGCGGCGCTACGCGCCGCGGTGTAGCGCCGCGGTTTTCCCGCTATTCGCGAAAAACCTCAGGGGGGGGGGCGGGGGGCGGATATCCGCCCCCCCCGTCGGTGCGAGGGTTAACAGATGAAGTAAGATTGGGGGAGTTTTTATCGAAAGGAAATGGTAAACGATCTATTACTCGAAGAGATGCGACTTCTGTCAACTGACCGGTGTGTAGCATGCATGTATTGATACTCTGCAACTGTTATATATGTTGCTGTGTTCGTTTTTCAAATGAAGGTAAGCTTAGCATTGTTCTGCCTATTTGTTTATGGATCAAACACATCGGAGCTGTTTAGATTGTCGTTTGTATGGCCCGTAAAGGCAGAATGTTCAAATTACCCCACGGTGAGAAAATTTCAGCACATCGTGATAGCCGTCGCGAAAACGGCTAGTATACGTTTTTGCCTCTGAATCGGCGCGCCGCGCGGCCCGTCTAACCTTGACTTTGGGATTGAAGACATAGAGCAGCGGGTTGGCGCGATACATGGCCGCCTCCTCTGCCTGGCGGCGGCCGAACTCGCGCTGACTGGCGGCCAAGTAGTTGGCCTCCTCGCGCGGCATCACGCGCGCCTTCACCGGCAGCGTGGCCGCGTCCGGCATCGACTTCTTGCGCTGCAGCGTGGCGGCGGTGAGTGAGGGCTGCCGGAGGGAGGGACCGGTGTCAGCTGAGGGAGGGAACGGTGTCAGCTGAGGGAGGGAACGGTGTCAGCTCAGGGAGGGAACGGTGTCAGCTGAGGGAGGGAACGGTGTCAGCTGAGGGAGGGAACGGTGTCAGCTGAGGGAGGGAACGGTGTCAGCTGAGGGAAGGAACGGTGTCAGCTGAGGGAAGGAACGGTGTCAGCTGAGGGAGGGAACGGTGTCAGATGAGGGAGGGAACGGTGTCAGCTGAGGGAGGGAACGGTGTCAGCTGAGGGAGGGAACGGTGTCAGTGGAAGGAGGGAACGGTGTCAGTGGAGGGAGGGAACGGTGTCAGCTGAGGGAGGGAACGGTGTCAGCTGAGGGAGGGAACGGTGTCAGCTGAGGGAGGGAACGGTGTCAGCTGAGGGAGGGGACGGTGTCAGCTGAGCGAGGGAACGGTGTCAGCTGAGGGAGGGAGCGGTGTCAGCTGACTGCTGAGGGAGGGAACGGTGTCAGCTGAGGGAGGGAACGGTGTCAGCTGAGGGAGGGAACGGTGTCAGCTGAGGGACGGAGCGACCGGGGAGGGAGGGAACGGTGTCAGCTGAGGGACGGAGCGACCGGGGAGGGAGGGAACGGTGTCAGCTGAGGGAGGGAACGGTGTCAGCTGAGGGAGGGAACGGTGTCAGCTCAGGGAGGGAACGGTGTCAGCTGAGGGAGGGAACGGTGTCAGCTGAGGGAGGGAACGGTGTCAGCTCAGGGAGGGAACGGTGTCAGCTGAGGGAGGGAACGGTGTCAGCTGAGGGAGGGAACAGTGTCAGCTGAGGGAGGGAACGGTGTCAGCTGAGGGAGGGAACGGTGTCAGTGGAGGGAGGGAACGGTGTCAGTGGAGGGAGGGAACGGTGTCAGCTGAGGGAGGGAACGGTGTCAGCTGAGGGAGGGAACGGTGTCAGCTGAGGGAGGGAACAGTGTCAGCTGAGGGAGGGAACGGTGTCAGCTGAGGGACGGAGCGACCGGGGAGGGAGGGAACGGTGTCAGCTGAGGGAGGGAACGGTGTCAGCTGAGGGAGGGAACGGTGTCAGCTCAGGGAGGGAACGGTGTCAGCTGAGGGAGGGAACGGTGTCAGCTGAGGGAGGGAACAGTGTCAGCTGAGGGAGGGAACGGTGTCAGCTGAGGGAGGGAACGGTGTCAGCTGAGGGACGGAGCGACCGGGGAGGGAGGGAACGGTGTCAGCTGAGGGAGGGAACGGTGTCAGCTGAGGGAGGGAACGGTGTCAGCTGAGGGAGGGAACGGTGTCAGCTGAGGGACGGAGCGACCGGGGAGGGAGGGAACGGTGTCAGCTGAGGGACGGAGCGACCGGGGAGGGAGGGAACGGTGTCAGCTGAGGGAGGGAACGGTGTCAGCTGAGGGAGGGAACGGTGTCAGTGGAGGGAGGGAACGGTGTCAGCTGAGGAAGGGAGCGGTGTCAGCTGAGGGAGGGAACGGTGGAACGGATTCAGCTGAGGGAGGGAACGGTGTCAGCTGAGGTAGGGAGCGGTGTCAGCTGAGGGAGGGAACGGTGTCAGCTGAGGGAGGGAGCGGTGTCAGCTGAGGGAGGGAGCGGTGTCAGCTGAGGGAGGGAACGGTGTCAGCTGAGGGAGGGAACGGTGTCAGCTGAGGGAGGGGACGGTGTCAGCTGAGCGAGGGAACGGTGTCAGCTGAGCGAGGGAACGGTGTCAGCTGAGGGAGGGAACGGTGTCAGCTGAGGGAGGGAACAGTGTCAGCTGAGGGAGGGAACGGTGTCAGCTGAGGGAGGGAACGGTGTCAGCTGAGGGACGGAGCGACCGGGGAGGGAGGGAACGGTGTCAGCTGAGGGACGGAGGGAACGGTGTCAGCTGAGGGACGGAGCGACCGGGGAGGGAGGGAACGGTGTCAGCTGAGGGAGGGAACGGTGTCAGCTGAGGGAGGGAACGGTGTCAGCTCAGGGAGGGAACGGTGTCAGCTCAGGGAGGGAACGGTGTCAGCTGAGGGAGGGAACAGTGTCAGCTGAGGGAGGGAACGGTGTCAGCTGAGGGAGGGAACGGTGTCAGTGGAGGGAGGGAACGGTGTCAGCTGAGGGAGGGAACGGTGTCAGTGGAGGGAGGGAACGGTGTCAGTGGAGGGAGGGAACGGTGTCAGCTGAGGGAGGGAACGGTGTCAGCTGAGGGAGGGAACGGTGTCAGCTGAGGGAGGGAACGGTGTCAGCTGAGGGAGGGAACGGTGTCAGCTGAGGGAGGGAACAGTGTCAGCTGAGGGAGGGAACGGTGTCAGCTGAGGGAGGGAACGGTGTCAGCTGAGGGAGGGAACGGTGTCAGCTGAGGGAGGGAACGGTGTCAGCTGAGGGACGGAGCGACCGGTGTCAGCTGAGGGAGGGAACGGTGTCAGCTGAGGGAGGGAACGGTGTCAGTGGAGGGACGGGAACGGTGTCAGCTGAGGGAGGGAACGGTGTCAGCTGAGGGAGGGAACGGTGTCAGCTGTGGGAGGGAGCAGTGTCAGCTGAGGGAGGGAACGGTGTCAGCTGAGGGAAGGAACGGTGTCAGCTGAGGGAGGGAACGGTGTCAGCTGAGGGACGGGAAACGGTGTCAGTGGAGGGAGGGAACGGTGTCAGCTGAGGGAGGGAACGGTGTCAGCTGAGGGAGGGAACGGTGTCAGCTGAGGGACGGGGAACGGTGCCAGCTGGGAGAGGACGGACCAGTGTTAGCTGAGGGAAGCTGCACACATTTGCTGCCGATCAGTGATAGGTAGCTGTGAGCGGTAGGGGACCGTGAATAGCTGTGGAGTACACGACTGAATATCAGATACATAGAGATCATTGACAAAGATGCAAAGAAACGGTGAATAAACCAAAAACAAGCAGTGAAGCCGGTTGTAATCCTGTGCCCATTCACCGCTGCGCCTCCCCTGCCCCACAGCCATTCAAGTGTTGGCGAGTACCGCCGCCTGTGGCGCCGCCGCTCCCGGGTCGGGTCGGGTCGGTGGCGCCGCCGCTCCCGGGTCGGGTCGGTGTCGCCGCCGCTCGCGGGTCGGGTCGGGTCGGGTCGGGTCGGGTCGGGTCGGGTCGGTGTCGCCGCCGCTCCCGGGTCGAGTCGGTGGCGCCGTCGCTCCCGGGTCGGGTCGGGTCGGTGGCGCCGCCGCTCCCGGGTCGGGTCGGGTCGGGTCGGGTCGGTGGCGCGCCGCTCCCGGGTCGGGTCGGGTAGGGTCGGTGTCGCCACCGCTCGCGGCACCTCTCGGGGCTGATTTCCCAGCGGGCCCGTTGGGCCGGGTCCCACGGGAGGCGACCGTCGCGCCGCCGGTCCGTGGCACAGCAGCTACCGCCCGGAGCACCACCGACGTCTTCCAACTCACCCAGTGGGACAGCGCCTCAGCCGGTCTCCAGGCCCCATGCCGCCTCACCAGAAGTGACCGAAGTAGAGCAGCCAATAACCAGACACCGCCTCAGCCCAGAAGTGCTAGGGATAATCAGATAGGGCCTCAGACGACCAATGTTAGGGATAACCAGACACCCCCTAAATGGCCAGTGCTGGGGACAATCAGGCGCCGCCTCAGCCGACCAGCGTAGGGGAGCGACCCCGACGTGATCCTACCTGGCTGGAAGTCCCGGCCGTGACCCAGCTCAGCCACACACTCCATACTCGTACGGGCGGCAAAAGCGCCCAGCTGGCGAGCCCGGCTCTGAATGTGTCTGATTTCTATCCGCACTCGGAGAACATACCTACCTGCTCAGACAGTCACCGCTCACTAGAAGCCGTAAAGGCGGACTGCGGACCCTGTCCTGCCCAGACCCAGTGAGCGTGCGAGCCGCCACACCTCCAGCGGCCGACCCGAGGACGACCTGGTGGCATTCTCGCTGACCAGGACTGGGCCCCCAGTCGAGCGCCCTACATACCTGCAGCACCCCGGGGCTGAGCCCTGGCCGCCCTCCCACCCGGCCTGCCCGCTCTGCTGCCTTCCCTGGGGAAGGTGAGCGGCTGAGTGCACCACTCACCGCTCCGCCGCGGCGACCCTGCGGCCCCGGCATGAACATGCTCTCGGTCCTCTTCATGGCGTGGCCGCCGGCTCCCATCAGCTCGGCCATTTCTGCCGCCTGCTGCGGCGTCTCCGGGATGAAGAAGTGCGGCCGGCCGGCCGGCTCGGGGCTGGCCGCCGGCGCCGGCTCGGCCGGCAGCGGCGTGTGGCGCGCGCCAGAGGCCGACCGGCGGCCGGCCCGCTCCACCGAGCCGTCCCGACTGCTGGCCGGCCGCCGGTAGTGCTCGAACCGGTCGTTGTCGCACATGGCGGTGGGCGCGGCGGCCACGCTGGCGTGCGAGGGCCGCCGGGAGCCGCGGCCTGGCGGGTCAGCCGTGGAGGGCCGCCGGGAGCCGCGGCCCGGCGGGTCAGCCGTGGACGGTCGCCGGGAGCCGTGGCCGGGCTCGGCACCACTGACGCGCCGCTGCAGCGCCGCGGGGAAGTAGTCGACACTGACGCGGTCGTCATTGGCCAGGGAGCCGGCGCGCGCCGTGACGCCACTGGTGACGCTGGTGCGCCGCTCGGCGGCCGAGTCGCGCTCGGAGCGGCCGGCCGGGTGCGGCGGCACGGGCCCGTCCAGTCCCGGCGGCAGCCCGTTGGGCGGCGGCGGACTCTCGGTGCGGATGTGCGGCACGTTCAGGTCCGTGTGGCCCAGCCGGGCGGCGTCCACACGCGTCCGGTAGCCGTCCGAGCCTGCCGGAGGGCCGGTCAGCGGTCAGATACTGGGTCACGGCCGGTAAGATACTGGGGTCACAGTTGGTCAGATATTAGGGTCACGGCCGGTCAGATGATGAGTGTGCGGCATGGCTCACGCCACGTGATCATGAAGGACGAGCTATGCTGGTTGCACTGACTGGAAGCCCCAGCCAGGGCTGCCTGAAGGGGGCACACCGCGATGGGATGGTTGGGTGCCCGTTCCTTGCATTCCCATTGCACATATACTGCCGTAGGTATGACCTAGTGTAACGTTGCCCTCAATGTATGTCCACCCCACCCCTCCCTTCCCTCCCTCCCTCCCTCCCTTCCTCCCTCCCCTCCCCTCCCCTTCCCTCCCCTCCGCTCCCCTCCCTCCCTCCCTCCCTCCCTCCCTCCTTTCCCCTCCATCCGCCCTCCTCTCTGACCAGCCCTGTATACCTAAGTGCGGTCCGGCTAGTCAGCCGAGACTGGCCCGCCCCCGTAAGAAGGCCCGGTCAGCCGAGACCTCAGCCGAGACTGGCGAAGCCCTCAGACCTCGGCCGAGACTGGCGAAGCCCTCCGGCCGCTCTTGTCGAAGCTCAGGCCCATTGGCGACCGCGGCGGCGCTGGCCGCACGCCAGGCTGGAAATAATCGCCGGCTGACTGGCCGAGACCCTGACCCAGGACTCCAATCCGGGACCCTGATCCCGGACCGGATCCAGGAGCATGATCCAGGACCCCGATCCAGGAGCCGGATCCAGGAGCCTGATCCAGGACCGGATCCAGGAGCCTGCTACATGATCCTGATCCAGGAGCCTGCTACATGATCCTGATCCAGGACCCTGAGCCAGTGAGCTGATCGAGGACCCTTATCAAGGACCATACTCCAATGACCCCGATCTAGGACATAGCTAAGTACAGGAACCTGATACAGGAATCTGATTCAGGATCCCGTATGTTGACCATGATCCAGGAACCTGATTCAAACCCTAATCCAGGAACCTGATGTATGATCCTGATCCAGAACCCTTCTTAAATGACCCCGATTCAGGACCTTGATCCACGACCATGGTACACTCGGGGGCAGATTGATGTTCTACAACTCTTTATCCACCGGGTTCCTATGGCTCAGCATTGGCAGCAGCCGCCTGGTACCGGTAGACTGTGCCGCTTCACTTACTTGTCAAGCGGCACAGCCTACCCCACCCGTGTGACACCGGTCTGGGTCGGTGGCTGGAAGGTGATGTGGGCCGCCTGTGACGTCAGCGCAGCGGTGAGGGCCGAGCCCGGAGGCATGGCTCGGGTCGGCGCGGCGCGGCGGCTGGCGAGGGCTGGGGAGTGAGGTGGGGTGGGAGCACGGACATCGCACGGCTGAGCGAGTGTAGTTAACTTTTGCGTCTCAAGGCGCCAATTATTCTACCTAACAATTGTGCTAAAGCAGTTGTTAAAATGTCCTATCCCCAAGACAGTGCCTATCATCATACTTGCAATGCACATTACGACACACTTAGCATGGCAATGGGACAGCCGATAGAACTTATGTCACTCGTGCATCGAGGTGCGGAGCTATATTTTGTATGACATATTAGTAAGGCCTTGATTGAGCAGATTTGTGTCTATTGTTTCGCACGGCAATCGTCCAGAGACGTGGGAACTGGGGGTTCAGAATTCAGAATTCAGAATGTATTTCAAGCTCATCCAGGTAAACATACACCGGCTTTTCATGTGCTTACGTCAGTTGTGGGATAAAAGGCATACACACACGACACTAATACGACATAAAACAATGCAAAAGGCAACTAACCCAATGAAAGAATGCTAAAAGGTACCACACACGAGCACGCTCACACCTGCATCTGCCGCGCCTGACCCATGTGTATCCGCAAAGCGTTTTTGAAAGCCGCGGTGCGTCCGTCCCGTACGGAGGGTGGTAGGGCATTATATGCTCGGGCCCCCCGGTAGATGAACATTCTCCTCCCTGACTCTGTTCTGATGCGTGGTAAAACAAGATGGTCGTCCTGCCTGGTCGATCTCTGCCTCACACTCATCGGGTTATGAGTAGTGCCGCAGCCAACGCTCCAATTTAAAGCGATTATTACTGTTGCTCTAATATGTGGTCGCAGCCCCCAATAGCAAACCGTTCCAACTAGGAGCCAAAAACTCGGCCACTCAGGGGGGTTCGAACCGGGCTTCTCTCCCACCGGCCAGCTCACGACGCGAGCGTTCATCCACTGAGCTACCGAGGTCCGAGAATGGTCCTCGTCTGCACAAAACAAAATGACATTCACCCGCTGACCGCCAATGACAGTATTGTGACATTTGATCGCGTTTGACCGCGGCGGGTGGTCGCTGGTTTCGGCAGCTCAGTGGATACACGCTAGCGTCGTAGGGTGACCGGTAGGAGAAACCCGGTTCGAACCGTCCCAGGTGCGCGATTTATTTGTTCCTAGATGGAACGGTTTGCTATTGGTGGCTGCGACCACACATTAGAGGAACAGTGAGAGTTGCTTAAAGTTGGGACGCCGCGCTATTCAAAAACCCCAGTTCCAACGTTTCTGGACGATTGCTGTGCGAAATAATAGACACCAATGAGCTCAATCAAGGCCTTAATACTTATCTGTTAAAAACAATGTAGCTCCGCAACTCGATGCACGTGTGATATAAATTCTATCGGCTGTCCCAATGCCACGTTTAAGTGTGTCGTAATGTGCATGGCATGTATGATGATAGGCGCTGTCTTGGGGATAGGACATTTTAACAACTGCTTTAGCACAATTGTTAGGTAGAATAATTGGCGCCTTTGAGACGCGAAAGTAACTACACTCGTTCAGCCGCGCGATGGTCCGTGCTCCCACCCCACCTCACTCCCCAGCCCTCGCCAGCCGCCGCGCCGCGCCGACCCGAGCCATGCCTCCGGGCTCGGCCCTCACCGCTGCGCTGACGTCACAGGCGGCCCACGTCGCCTTCCAGCCACCGACCCAGACCGGTGTCATACGGTGTGGGTAGGCTGTGCCGCTTGACAAGTAAGTGAAGCGGCACAGTCTACCGGTACCAGGCGGCTGCTGCCAATGCTGAGCCATAGGAACCCGGTGGATAAAGAGTTGTAGAACATCAATCTGCCCCCGAGTGTACATACCTGCACATATACTCCAGTGTCCTTGCTCCAGCGCGCTTGATATATGACTCTTAGTTCTTACCCAGTGTTCTTGATCAGGACCATGATCGTTTACCCTGATCCGCTATCCCGATCCTGAACACTGATCCGGGACCCTGACGCACGACCCTGATCCGAAAACATAATACAGGACTCTAACCTGGGACCCCGATCCGTGACATCAGCGTGGGACTACTGTGTATCCATCTGATATCGGAGTTGCCCCAGTTAGCCCCGGAGGATGTCGGAGTTACGCCGCGCCTCTAGCCCCGGAGGATGTCGGAGGTACGCCGCGCCTGGCCCCGGCGGATGTCGGAGTTACGCCGCGCCTGGCCCCGGCGGATGTCGGATGTCGGGAGGGGCGCGGCGGCGGGACACTCGCCTGGCTGCAGAAAGTCGGGCGCGAACTGCTTGGCGTGCAGCCGGGCGACGGCCGAGTCCTCTCGCGCGTGCTGCCCGGCCACGTCGGCCTGTTCGGCCTTACCGCGGGCGGTGGCCGTCCTGCGGGACACGGTGTGTCAGCTGCGGCGCACCGAGAGGGGGGGGGGGGGGTGAGCCGGGCGCCGGTCAGAGGGACTGGTCTGCCCGGCCGGTCAGAGGGGACTGGTCTGCCGGGCCGGTCAGAGGGGGACTGCTCGGCCGAACGGGGCAGTCGGATACTGTGGGCCGTCGAAGATGAATAAGTTTAAAGTTTAAACCATGTACCATTGTACCATTATCCATTGTATGCTATCAAGAATGACACATTTCACTTTTATATGCAAAACGTTAAAAAGTGGGCAGGCTTGGTAAAGAACTTATGTTCCAGTTCATGCAATAGGTCCTCTTTACTAAACTACACTGAGAGAAAAGTTGACTCCGTACCAGCTTTAATTCTGGGTTGATGCGTCGACAACTCCTTATTTATTCACCGTGACCACAGCAAAAACTTGTTGCAAGCTTCCATTATACTTCCCAAGGCTATTGTGATAATTTTGTCAGAGTCGCCCCTACCTATTTCCGTGCTCTCCTTATACTCCTGCCGGATGCTTATGAAATATTCTTTCAATGTGCTGATGTAACTCTGGCTGAACTGTTCCTACCTGGACAACTCTTCTTAACCCTCGCCCATGTAGGGGGGGTGGTTGGTGCAACCCCCCCCCCCTGAGGCTTTTCGGAAATAGTGCAAAAACGGCGGCGCGCAGCGCTGCCAAATTTTGGGTACCTTATGGGGCAAGCCTTGCGCATCTTTTGATAAAAAAAAATTTGACCGGGTCATGTCAGGTCACGGAGTTATGACGTCACAAAGGGAACAGCCTCCGGCCGGATTTTCACAAACTGAGTGCCAACGCCCGAGGTTTCCTGCCGGTGGTACGGTCATCGGTTGATGGATCGTGATGAAACTTCCCATGCATGTTGGGGCAAGTATTGGCTATCATATGGTATAAGAAACTTGACCGGGTCAGGTCAGGTCACGGAGCTATGACGTCACAAGAGGAACAGCGTCCGGTACTATTTTTGAAAAGCGCCCGAACCACTATTTTGCTAATTCTTGTCACCTCAATGGGAATATGCAGCAATATTAGCTTCTATAGGGAGCAAATGGACCTCCGAAATCCAAAAATACAATCAGATTTCAAAAATTTAAATTTTGATTTTTCGAATTTCTGCCGCCGACTGTGACCTTGCCGACTTCCGGCGCTCCCAACGCGCCATTTTTAGAGCTAGGGAAACAAAATACATACCAAACGATAGAGAATTGATCAAGGAACACGATAGTGAAGGTTTCAAGTCGATATCTCCCACCGTTTTGCCGCAATCGCCGCGGAAAGTTGAAAAAAGTCTATTTTTCCGAAAATTTGACCTTTGACCAGTCAAAAGTAGGTCAAATGTTGACCTAGGACCAAAAAATATACCACCAATCGCGAGATCTCGGCGAGAGCAATCCGTTGGTCTTTTCCGCTAAGCTCTACGACGCTCCGTTTTCAAACGCCAAGGGGGGGGGGTCGCACCAACCCCCCCCCCCCCCCTGCATGGGCGAAGGTGGCAGATCGCCGTTTACGGGCGAGGGTTAAGTCCTACTCCTTTGGGTATTCACCAGAAGAGTCTTTAAGGAATTCTGACAGCATATGGTAGCCATTTTGTAGAGTGCGTTTGTCCGCCATATTGGTTTATTTGCAAATGGCAGTTGTGGGCAGGCGGCTCACCTGCTGATGGCGATGTCAGCCTTCTGCAGGGCGATCTTGGAGCCACGGCCGGCCGCGCTCACGGCCGCCTCGATCCGCTCACGAAACTTGGCAGAGCGCATCAGCAGCAGGTGCTTCTTCTTATGCGACGTCACCAGCACGTTGTTCTTGTACTTGCCCTCCTCGCGCGTGCCGTCCTTGAAAGTGGTGACGCCGTAGCCGTACTTTTTGTTGTTGTACCACTCGCCCTCGTAGCGCAGTCCGTCGGAGCGCTCGCAGACGCCGTAGCCGACACGCCGGTCGTTTTTCCACTCGCCCATATAAGTTTCGGTGACGTTGCTGTCCATTTGCTCGTCCTGTGGGCAGAGAAGCAGTGTCAGCAGCGCTGCGGTCCAGCCGTCCACAGCACGGCGTCCAACGCGTCCGCAGCACAGCCGTCCACAGCACAGCCGTCCGCAGCACAGCCGTCCGCAGCACAGCCGTCCACAGCACAGCCGTCCACAGCACAGCCGTCCACAGCACAGCCTTCCACAGCACAGCCTTCCGCAGCACAGCGCCCAGCGCGCCCAGAGCACAGCCGTCCACAGCACAGGCCCAGCGCGCCCACAGCACAGCCGTCCACAGCACAGCGCCTAACGCACCCACAGCACAGCCGTCCACAGCACAGCGCCCAGCGCGTCCACAGCACAGCCATCCACAGCACAGCGCCCAGCGCGTCCACAGCACAGCCGTCCACAGCACAGCGCCCAGCGCACCCAGAGCACAGCGGTCCGCAGCACAGCGCCTAACGCACCCACAGCCCAGCCTTCCGCAGCACAGGCCCAGGGCGTCCACAGCACAGCCTTCCACACCACAACCGTCCACAGCACAGCCTTCCACAGCACAGCCGTCCACGACTCCACAGCGCGGCGCCTAACGCACCCACAGCGCGGCGCCTAACGCACCCACAGCGCGGCGCCTAACGCACCCACAGCGCGGCGCCCGACGCGGACCTAACGGTCGCTCGGGTGGCCGGCTAACGATACGGGCTCGCCGGTGTATGAGGCCGTGGGACGGGCACTGGGAGGCTTTGTTTGGCAAATTTGCCCTAGTTTGATTTAGGTGGTGCTGCCACAAGCGATCAAAAGCTCTTCCGCTTCGGCCGGCACAGCGCCCATCATATCTATCTCCGGGACCCTGCAGTTGCCACTCTACAGAAACCCAAACTCGAACGATTCGAGTCGAACCGTCAGTCCTGTCCAGCAACAACTGTGTGCAGTAGTATCAGCAGCGACTCTCTGTACAGCAGCAACTGCAGGGGTTTCTGTAGGTAAGTGCGTTCTGACAGTTTATTGCAGTTTCTTGTAATGGTGCTGTGACAGTTTTCCGAGCATTTCTGTACTCATGTAGTAGCCATCTCGGTCCCGTGCCATCGGGTTTCGTACTGGCGACCACAGCGCGCCGCCGGTTAGGGGGGAGGGGGGAGTTCCGGTGGCAGTCTACCCCACCGGCTGACCGGGGCCTCCCTCCCTCCCTCGGTGGTGCATCCCTGTAAAGGACGCAATCGATTTATCCAGTCAATATCTAGCGTAAGTCTCCGGTTTTAGAAGTGTGCCTCCTATCCATTATTTTTCTTTTCGTCCCTTAACCCTCGCCCATGTAGGGGGGGGGGGGGTTGGTGCAACCCCCCCTGAGGTTTTTCGGAAATAGTGCAAAAACGGCGGCGCGCAGCGCCGCCAAATTATGGGTACCTTATGGGGCAAACCTTGCGCATCTTTTGATAAAAAAAAATTTGACCGGGTCATGTCAGGTCACGGAGTTATGACGTCACAAAGGGAACAGCCTCCGGCCGGATTTTCACAAACTGAGTGCCAACGCCCGAGGTTTCCTGCCGGTGGTACGGACATCGGTTGATGGATCGTGATGAAACTTCCCATGCATGTTGGGGCAAGTATTGGCTATCATATGGTATAAGAAACTTGACCGGGTCAGGTCAGGTCACGGAGCTATGACGTCACAAGAGGAACAGCGTCCGGTACTATTTTTGAAAAGCGCCCGAACCACTATTTTGCTAATTCTTGTCACCTCAATGGGAATATGCAGCAATATTAGCTTCTATAGGGAGCAAATGGACCTTCCCAATCCAAAAATACAATCAGATTTCAAAAATTTAAATTTTGATTTTTCGAATTTCTGCCGCCGACTGTGACCTTGCCGACTTCCGGCGCTCCCAACGCGCCATTTTTAGAGCTAGGGAAACAAAATACATACCAAACGATAGAGAATTGATCAAGGAACACGATAGTGAAGGTTTCAAGTCAATATCTCCCACCGTTTTGCCGCAATCCCCGCGGAAAGTTGAAAAAAGTCTATTTTTCCGAAAATTTGACCTTTGACCGGTCAAAAGTAGGTCAAATGTTGACCTAGGACCAAAAAATATACCACCAATCGCGAGATCTCGGCGAGAGCAATCCGTTGGTCTTTTCCGCTAAGCTCTACGACGCTCCGTTTTCAAACGCCAGGGGGGGGGTCGCACCAACCCCCCCCCCCTGCATGGGCGAAGGTGGCAGATCGCCGTTTACGGGCGAGGGTTAACCCGCACCCCACCTGGGGCGGGTCCTGGATGTCCACACCTCATGCTGGGGGAGTTTAAACAGCCCCTTCTAACTCGGCTCCTGGGCCACGTAGGCTCACGCTGTAGGCGGCGTTCAAAAGAGCGTAAAAAATAATGAAGAAATTATGTCGGGCATGTTTTAGGTCATGTCAAAGGCCAGGGTCACCAGATGTCATGGAAGGTAAAATTTTGCCAATTTCGAGGTCAAACTTCGACAATTTTCGACAAACCAGCTCATAGCTCAGGAGCCGGATGAGCTAGAACGCCACAGAAAAGCGCATTCGTTAGCTCTTTTTCATCTTCGAAGCTTTAAAGCCTTGGCTTTATTGGCACATCATGTATGTACATGCATAGTTGGGTGTTCCCAACTAGGTATGCATCGCTCCCACTGACCGTAGAGTACAGGCAAGTAGATACCTATGCTTTTAGTCACCACATGCTGCATATCTGATGTCTATGCGACTACCCGAAGCCGCGGCCGTCTGGCTCGCTGGTGGCAGCGGAGGGCCGTCCAATGCGCACCACCAGCTCGCACCAGAGGTGCGCGTCACACGCACATGCACACAGACGCGCCGGCCGGGCTCCGATGACCGGGATTGGAGCGGCACCAGCTGGCCGGGTCCGGGGCCGGGGCCGGGGCCGCCCTGACGCCGCTCCGCGCGCACACCTGTGCCCGGCCGGCCGACACAACTGCGTGGCCAGTCGCGTCCGCTCCCACTGACCGTCACCGCCACCGACGGCACCGGCACCGGCGGCGGTCTCTGCAGTCTTTGGGGCACACACTGGCTACTGAGCCTCCCTCCCCCGCCAGATCCCCCTACCCGACAGTCTCCGAGCAAGCCTTCGAGTCCTGTGGGGGCTCTGAGACCCCAACCTGTTTCCTAGGCCCCATACCGGCTTCTCTATGCATCCTTACTGCACCTGAGCCCCCTTACTCATGGTCCCAAAACGCGGTCTTTGTGGGCCCCTACGCAGGCTGCAGAGGCGAGCCCACATCCGCTTCTGAGGGTCCTCCTGACGGCATCAGAGGGGCCCACTGCGGCACTGCCCATGTGGGCACCTCTGATGATGCAGTTGGGTGGGTGGAAAAGCCACCCAACTTTGAAAATCGGTTCGGTGGAAAATCAAACAACGACCGAGGTCTTTAAGAAATAATTCCGGCCTAAGGGCCTAAGTGTGGTATTTATTTTATCATATGGTGCACATGGTTGCAAAATGAGCCTTTTCAAAACCACGCTTCCCACCAGTTTCTAAGGATTTGACTTCGGCGATTTTATTAATTTTTATTTTAGAAAAAATGAAAGTAAGGAAACGTTGAGAAAAAGTGACCAATGCGTAAGAAGTTGAAGGCTTTCTTCAAAATATCAGTTTACGGCTCTTCATATATCGTGCTCAACATCAGTAGGTATCCATGGAATCGTGAACATCAAGATGAACTAAGAAACACGGCACCTGGAGCTGTCAACACTGTCCTGTCGACGGGTCCAAAATGACGCTATCTGAATAAAATTTGATTATTGGCGTTTATTTGCGTTTCGTACCTACGGATAGATATCGCCACATGGCCCCCCCAAATTAATTATCCCGTCTTCCGGGCAACGCAAAGATAAAAGAAGCATTGCTAGAAATGAGCTTTGACTGTAAGCAATGTTGAGAGATGGGTCAATGACCTCGAAACAATTTTCTGCTGGCATACGAAAAATGACCACAGGCCGAAAACGTTTCCCAGCTACTTAAAGCACTACAGTCTGAGCGGGCCGAAAGCATAGGTATACCAGAGATTTCCGAACGCTCCTGCTAATACTAAAGAGATACTCCACCATATGGTAAAAGCGGATACCTGCCTCGACAATTTTTAAAGATATTGAGCTAAAACTTTCTAGATTTGGCCGTTGTATCTGTCTGATATGATCTGATTTTTCGAAAGGTCAAAACTCTATAGTTTGAAGTTTTTTTTTTAAGGCTTTATGTGAAAGTTCAAAATTTTCTCAGTTTTAAAAGCCAAGATCACAGTTTGATAGCCCTCTGTAAGTGTGTATTGTACGCCCTCTCTGGTAAAGACATTGGTGCCAGCTGTAAAAAATTGGGCTCTTGAAAGCGATTGCCGTCGATCAACATTTTACATCAAAATCGGTCGAACATGGCGTAACTCTGACGTCATTTCCGACTGACCTATCGTAGCTAAGAAAGTTCTATTTGGACAAAAAATGTCAAATTAATGCAGATGAAGGTGCTGAAACTTCGTGTTGATAGCCTAGAGATTTAGAAGATATTGAAGAAAATTTCAAGTCACAGGAGTTCAGGTCAAGCCATCAGGTCATAAAACCGGTACAAGGCCACGGTATATTTGCACTATAATTTGTTTTCGACCCTCCCTGTAAACGTCTCTTCGAACACAGCACGATAATTGCTGGCTGAATTACTGAGAAAATTGGTTGATGCACATTGATTTCGCAGACGACCAACTGCATCAAAATTATTTCTACCTGGCTCCTTTTTTCCCAGACTCGCAGCTCGGCACTTGCCCATGTTTACAAATCCACAATGAGAGAGGACTTGTCTGGAATTATAATTGGACAAAATAATAAGTCGAATGGCGTTTAACATACCCGTACCTACATCATCGGTGTTACAAACTTATTGTGAAAATATTATTTCATATCTCCAATGCAATGTGCGTTAACTAGTTTTTCAGTATTTCAGCTACCAATTCTCGTACTGTGTTAAAAAATATTTAGTGAGGGTCAAACTAAAAAACGAATTATAGTTTAGCGACAATGAAATCACAAAGTTTTTCGTAAAAACATGAACACCGTGGCACCAGTTTTGAGGCACTTTTAGGGGCATCCATTTGACACGCGTCTTAGTTCCAGTGACCTAAGGTCAGGTCAGGAGGTTACCAAAACAAACACATTGTCAAAATAACACTGAAATTACACTATTTTTTCCAGCTATGTAGCCTAGAGCTTGATATCAGTTGATATCACTGCCTGGTGTGCGGTGTCAGTCTGCGCTGGCCGCGCGGCGCCACCCACCTCCACCACGAAGCTGGCGTTGGACTCGGTGTGGTAGCTGCCGTTGGTCACGTGTGACTTGGTCGAGTCGCTCGACTGCCACGAGGAGGTGCTGCGCGTCGAGCGCACGCTGCCGCCGGCCGCGGTGCGTCTCTCCAGCTCGCCAGTGCTGCGCTGCTTCCGCAACCGCAGCCCCTGGCCGGCACGGAGGGGGGGGGGGGGCTCAGTCGGACGTCCGACACGGGGGGCGTCTCACGGTGTTCCGACTGTGTTCCGCTCCTCTCCTCACTCTCACCCTCGTATCAGCCAGTCCCCGCCTGCGCCGCTACTATCTGCCGTCACTGAGTCGCTACAAAGGCCAGCCGCCTCACCTGGAGGATATTCTGCCGCAGCGTGGTGGGCTTGTCGACGGCGGAGCCGCGCCGCGGCGGCGGCTCCTCAGAGTTCACCTGCAGCACGAAGCCGCCGCGCGTGTCGTTGACGCGCCGGTCGCGCTCGGCGGTCGGGTCGGCCGGCGGCTCCGAGCGCAGAGACGCCGCCGACTGGTGGTGCGCCTTGCTCTTGGAGGTGGACGCCGCGCCGAACGCGGCCGACGTTCGCACGCCGTAGCCGTGCCGCGAGCCGCGCTGCCACTGTCCCTGGTACGTGCCTGCCAACCGGGGGCGGGGTCAGACTGCGTCCAACTCATACCGGGGGCGAGGTCAGACTCCGTCCAACTCATACTGCGGGGGCGGGGTCAGACTCCGTCCAACTCATACCGGGGGCGGGGTCAGACTCCGTCCAACTCATACCGGGGGCGGGGTCAGACTCCGTCCAACTCATACCGGGGGCGGGGTCAGACTCCGTCCAACTCATACCGGGGGGCGGGGTCAGACTCCGTCCAACTCATACCAACCGGGGGCGGGGTCAGACTCCGTCCAACTCATACCGGGGGCGGGGTCAGACTCCGTCCAACTCATACCATGTCCCTGGTTATAGGTGCCTGCCAACCGGGGGCGGGGTCAGACTCCGTCCAACTCATACCAACCGGGGGCGGGGTCAGACTCCGTCCAACTCATACCGGGGGCGGGGTCAGACTCCGTCCAACTCATACCGGGGGGCGGGGTCAGACTCCGTCCAACTCATACCATGTCCCTGGTTATAGGTGCCTGCCAACCGGGGGCGGGGTCAGACTCCGTCCAACTCATACCAACCGGGGGCGGGGTCAGACTCCGTCCAACTCATACCGGGGGCGGGGTCAGACTCCGTCCAACTCATACCGGGGGGCGGGGTCAGACTCCGTCCAACTCATACCATGTCCCTGGTTATAGGTGCCTGCCAACCGGGGGCGGGGTCAGACTCCGTCCAACTCATACCAACCGGGGGCGGGGTCAGACTCCGTCCAACTCATACCGGGGGCGGGGTCAGACTCCGTCCAACTCATACCATGTCGCCGTAGCAGTGAGACATCAGACGTCAAAATCTTAATCCGGACAGGATCTTAATGCGCCTGGGGCGCGTGCGTGCGCCCCCTCCCGTCCAACCTCACATACGTGTGCCTTTTGATGGGTACGGAGGCCAGGAAAAGACTTGGCATGCTTGAGCCAGCGTGCCACTACCGTCTTAACCCGCGCCGGGCCGGTGCTCTGAGATTCCGCGCCGGGCCGGGGGGTTGTCTGAACACTCCCCTTCTAACTCGGCTCCTGGGCCACGTAGCGACACGCGGTAAACGGCAATCGAAAGAACGTCCAAAAAAAGGACGAAAACACTTCAGTCATTTTTTGGGTCAGGTCAAAGGTCAGGTCACCAGAGGTCACCAAAGGTAAAATGTTGACTATTTCAACTTTTTGGAAACTGCCAACGGCTATCTCGGGAACCGATAGAGCTACAGCGCCGCGGAAAAGCGCATTCGATAGCCCTTTTACAGGCTTTTCTGACTAATGTTCTCAGATTTGACCTCAGGTCAACGGTTTAGCCTCCAGAGGGCAAAAACTCCAAAAATAGCCGTTTTTACGAAAATCGGTTTTTCGGCGATAACTTTTGACTCAAAAAAGCCATGACATTACTTTTGCCAGTATCGTGTTCCTCTCGTCGAGACGCGTCGGATGAACTGTATGTTGACCTTGAAAGGTCAACTTGAAAATTTGACCTCAGGTCAAGGTCATGACCTGACCGGAAAAGGTCATGTTGCATATCAGTCGATCCGCAACGTCGAGCCAAACACATCTAAGGCGTTTTCAGCGCTCTAGGACGCCTCTATCAGTTATTAGCGAAAAACTGTTAGATTCTGTTCGTGACCTGAGATGACCTCGGGGACATAACGAGGAGTCACAGTTGCCATTTTCTGGTTCAGTGTGTCAATTTTACCTACATCTCGATGTTTGAGAATGTCTAGAATGGCGTTCGTGCAAAACAGACGCTTTTCAATTTTCTCCCATTGACTTATAATGGAGAGGCCGCAAAATTGAACTGACCTTAGGTCACCGATATCAAAATTCCCAGATATACATTTTATAGATACTGTTGCTCTAATCAATCGCTGAAAGTTTCAAGGCAATCGATCAATCGGTGTGGCTATGACGAGCATTCTTATTTTTTCTGAGGTGAAGTCACTTGGCGTGACCTGGTGACCTGACCTAAGGCGACCTGGGTCTGAAATTTTCACAACATGTGCGGAAAAGATGAACAAACAGGTGCCGCCGTTTTTGAGATATCTGCGAAAAACCGCAGGGGGGGGGTGTTCAAACACCCCCGGCCCGGCGCGGGTTAAAGCTCATAGTTGTGCAAATTCGACGAAACAACGCCCACAGAGACCTACCAACAGCAGCTGGGACCCAGGCAGCTGGGACTCAGGCTCGGTTAACCCGCGCATGACTGGGGTATTTTCCATAACGCGAGTGACTGCGGGCGGGGGGCTCTACAAAGCCCCTCCTATCTCCGAAACTACTGGGCCGATCGTCAAAATTCAAACGGCGTCTGAAAGCCGTGGAAAAAACTGCTCAACGAAACCTAATTTCATTAACCTCGAAGTCACCGATAACGTCACAGGTCAGATAAAAGTATAAATTATCAGCATTTTGGCTTGTTCATAGTTTAGGCTGTGGCCATATGCCTTAGATACCCTGAGGGTATGGAACTTGTACTTCGATTTTTTAGGTCAAGGCCAGGTCATCCTTGGTCAGTTCAGGTCACTTTCAGGTCAAAAACAGTCAAATTTTGAAATGAAATTTTTCAACAAAAATGTGTTTATCGGATGCAAATTGAGCTCAGGAACACACGATGGGTGCTATTTATTTTGCTGTACGATGTCAAAACGTACAAAAAATGGATCGAAAAATCTATGTATATTTGTTCAATTTTTTTTATAATGCATATAACTTGGCAATTTTGACCATTTTTGGCCACTATAACTTGGCCATTATTGGGCTAAAACTTCCTAGAGTAGGTCATCGATGGGTGGCCTATTGCATTTATTCCGTGTTTCGAAAAGTAAAAAACTGTTTGAAAAAATCAAAACATATATATTTTGTTTTTATATCTTTTTCGAAATTTTATAAGTTTGGAGAATCCGAGATAGTAGTTTGATAGTCACGTTCATTCAAAGACCACTCAAAGAAATCAGATCTAGCTTAAAAACTAAGCTCTTGAGAGCGATAACCGTAGATCAATGTTTTGCATAAAAATAGGCCGACATTACGTCACTCTGACGTCATTTTCCGTCGATCTATTGTAGCTAAAAAGTTGAAATTTAGACACAAGGTGTCAAATTGATGCCGCTGAAGGTGCCACAACTTTCGTGTTGATAAGTTAACCCGCGCCCGGCTGGGGGTCCTGGATTTCCACGCCCTGCTGGGGAGGGGGGGGGTGTTTGAACACCCCCCCCCTTCTAACTCGGCTCCTGGGCCACGTAGCGATACGCGGAAGGCGGCGTTCGAAAGAGCGTCAAAATTAATGACGAAATTACTTTTATCAATTTTTGGTCAGGTCAAAGGTCAGGTCACCAGAGGACATTGAAGGCAAAATTTCGCCGATTTCCAGGTCGAATGTCGAAAATTTCCAAGAAGCCAACGCATAACTCGGGAACCAATAGAGCTACAGCACCGCAGAAAGGCGCATTCGATAGCCCCATTAACGCCCTTTCTGAGCAACTCTCTTAGATTTGACCTAACGTCAACGGTTTTGCCTGCAGGGGGCAAAAACTGCAAAAATAGCCGATTTTTTTCGGAAACAGTTTTTCTGCAATAACTTTTGACATAAGCCTTGAACGAGCTTACTGTTTCCGGCATCGTGTTCCTCTCGTCAAGACGCATCGAATGAACTATAATTTGACCTTGAAAGGTCAACTTGAAATAAATGGGCAGAAATTATAATGGGGAGGTCGCAAAATTGACCTGACTTTATGTCATCGATATCAAAATTCTGAGATATACATTTTATACATGCTATTGCTCTTAGCAATCGCTGAAAGTTTCAAAGCGATCGGTCACTCGGTGTAGCTATGACAGACATTGAAACTTTTTATGAGGTGAGGTCACTTCAAGTGACCTGGTGACCTGACCTTGAATGACCTTGGTCTGAAATTTTCACAACATGTGTAGAATTGATGTATGATAAGGTGTACCAAAGGCGCTCCGCGCCGCCGTTTTTGAGATATTCGCGGAAAACCACAAGGGGGTATTCAAACACCCCCCCCCCCCAGGGCGCGGGTTAAATGGTTTGGAAGATATTGCCGAAAAACGGGAGAGGGGCTCTGTAGACCCCCCCCCCCATTCATGCCGGGTTAACGGCAGCTGTCCTAGCAGACAGGGCTGCTAAACATCAGCCGCAACGGAAACAGTATGTACATATTTGGACTGATTCGACTGCTCTGTTTCTAGTGGTAAATGGCAACTACATGAAATGTAGCCCCCCCCCCCCCCCGCAGGAACCGAGAGTCAGAAGACGCCTTCGAGACCAGACGGAGGGCGTTTGCCGGCCGCTGCCGCCTGCCAGCCGGCGGGTAGGCTGTGCCGCCGGCCGCGAGTGTCCGGCGGCACAGTCTACCGGGCCAGGCCAGCCGAGGCTCGGCGTGGACACTGCCGCGGTGTAACAGCGGTGTAACAAAAAAGACCGCAGGCCAATCGGTCCAGCGGTTGCTGAGACATAAGCCTCTCAAAAGCGTTACAGGCCGGGCCGCTCATACTGAGATTTTTCCGTTATATTGAAAAGACTTCGCTTCGCTCGCTGCTCTCGCTCGCTCGTAAGTTGATTGTTAGATATGTTTTGTGGATGTCTGTTGGTATGTGGTGGTGAGCGAATGCTTTATTCCAATACGTTCATACCTAAATTGCCTTGGCACAGTAATAATAGCCAGTCTTGTATGTTGTCATCAGAGTGCACTATTAGAATGCGCCCCAAAGTAACTACATGCATGGATGCATATATACCAGGCGCGGATACAAGGGGGGGGGGGGCATGGGGGCCATGGCCCCCCCTTGGCCGATTTTTTTTTTTCAAAAATAAAATAAAAAGTTAAAAAGTTAAAAAGCTGAAAAGGGGGCCTCCTGAAAATAAGGTGGCCGAAATCCGATGAGTTTTTTTTTTAACCTACCCACTTAGTTATTTCTTAGAAGACTAGCTGAGAAGACTTCTTTGTTAGAAGATTGGTAAAGCTTTTCATAACTTGGAGGT